TACCCTTATTTTATTTATTTATCTTTATGGGGTGCTGAGGATTGAACCCAGGGCTGCCCACGTGAGAGGTGAGCACTCTACCACTGAGCCACAACCCCAGCCCCTATATTTTATCTTTGATAAGCAGAACTCTCTCTGCTGCCTGATCACCATGTGAGCTGCTTCTCTCTGCCACACTCTTCCACCATGATGTCCTGCCTCACCTTGGGACCTGAGAATGGAGCCTGCTTTCTATGGACTGAGACCTCTGAGACCATGAGCCCCCAAACAAACTTTTACTCCTCTATAGTTGTTCTGGTTGGGTCCTTAGTCACAGCAGCGAAAAAGCTGACTAAAATAAAATTGATGCCAAGAGTGGGGTTGTTGCTGTGGCTAACTTGACCATGTGGTTCAGAGTTTTTTGGAGTTGTTTTTTTTTTTGAAATTTGTGGGAAGAATTTTCAAATGCTTAACAGCACAAGCTGTAAATGCTTTAGATTGTTGTAAGTGGAGCTTAATGAGTGATTCTGGTGGGAGCTCAGAAGACCAGAATGCCAATAGGACTGTGCACAGTGAAGACAGGGCTCAAGAGGGTTTAGAGGAAAAGGAGGACACTATTGGTCACCAGGACAGAACTACACCAGCCCTTTGGACAGATCAACTCCATGCCATGTGTCCCAGATACTGGATGTGGTGCTATGGTACTTTTTTGTCCAGCTGGATTTCAGTCTTGCTTTGGCCCTATCCCTTCTTTCAATTCCTCTATTTTGCTAAATGGAAATGTTTATTCTGTATCTTTATATATTGGATACTTGTAAATAATTGGACTAGAAGCCATTCATGTTATGTTCTGGCTGAGAAATTGTCTGCATCTTCCCTGTGTCCTTCTTAATCTGGTGGAAGAAATTTCTATGCAGCATAGCATTCAGACAGTGGCATGGCTTTTAGCCAACTTTATTGTGATAATTAGGAGCAGAAAGCAGAGTAGAAAGATTTTAAAAACTTGAACTCGAAAGGTAGGAGTAAAACTGGGGCTAAGGAAGTTGCAGTTGTTAAAGACATTACCACCACTAAAGACATGCAAAAGATGACCAAACACAATAAGAAAGATGGCTTGAGGATAACTCAGGAATTGGCAATATCATGTCCATCTTGGGCTCAAGGAAGTAAAAATAAAAATTCCCTTGAGAATAGACTAGTGGGGTACCCTTCTTGCACAAGAGGGCCTAGGAAGTTGTTTCAACATGCTTGTCTACCCAGGCACTCAGAGGCTACTGCAGCTATGGTCCCTGGAGGCTTGGGCACTGCTGGATATGGTGGTAGACCTTGGCATCAACCACATTGTACTGGTTCTCCAGGAATACAGGATGCTAGAGTTAGTTGTGGGGTCATGGAATCTTCCACCAATATTTCAAAGGAAGGCCTTGGAGGCTAAGCAAAGTGTAGTAGATTTGAGTCCCTATGGGCACCCCCTGAGAAAGCAAAATGTGAAGATGTGAGGACAAAGCTGAAGCTGCAGTAGAGACACCCAAGATTTAAAAATGCCAGTACTATGGAACGTACTGAGGAAGGCTGTAGGAATAGAGTTGAGACAAGCCAACAGGAAGGCCACTTGGGCTGCAACCAACAAGGCCACCAGGACAGAGCTATACGAGCTCTTTGGACAGAATATCACCATGCCATGTGTCCCTAGAAATGTTTATTCTGTGCCTTTATATATATATTGGATATTTGTAAATCACTTTTGATTTTTTAAAAATATATATTTACTTTAGTTGTAAATGGACTTTTATTTTATTTATATGCAGTACTGAGACTCGAACCCAGGGCCTCACACATGCTCAGCAAGTGCTCTACCACTGAGCCACAACCCCAGCCCCAACTTTTGATTTTTATAGGAGCTCACAATGCAATCTTGCCCTGAGTCTCAGAGGAGAATTTCTGTGTAATCTTGGAACTGTTGAGACTATGAGGACTCTTGGAAAGGGACAAAATGTATTTTGCATTGTGAGATGGTTATGAACTTTTGGGGGCCAGGGGAGGAATGTTATGCTTGGATGTGAGGTTTCCTCCAAAAGCTCATGTGGTAGATAATACAAAAGATTTAGAGGAGAAATGATTCGTATATAAGAGTCTTAACCCAATCAGTGAATTAATCCCCTTCTGGGATTAACTGAGTGGTAATTGAAGGCTGGTAGGGTGTGGCTGAAAATTTATATGACAAATATTTACTCAACATCTCTACTCAGATATTTTACTTTTCTGAAACAAATCCTTTTTACCTCACAAAATCTGCTCCCTTCACATTCTGCTGCATTTCAATAAATGGCAGCTTTGCTCTTCTATTTGCTCAGGCCAGAAATTTTCAGTGCAGAGGTCTGAGCTAGAGATTCAAATTTGGAAGACATTTTTATACAGCTATTTTTTTTTTGTACCAGGGATTGAACCCAGGGCCACTTAACCACTGATACACACCCCTTGCCATTTTTATATTTTACTTAGAGACAGGGTCTCGCTAAATTGCTTAGGTCCTCGTTAAGTTGCTGAGGCTGGCTTTGAACTAGTGATCCTCCTGCTTCAGGCTCCCAAGCCACTGGGATTATAGGCATGTGCCACCACACTTGGTTGTACCTCTACTTTTGAAAACTGTCAAACTGGACAAGATCACTGAGACAGTGAGTGTAAATAGAGAAATTGTATAAGGACTGGGTTCTGTCTCCAGTGTTTGAAGCCAAGTTCTCAAAATGTGGTCCCTTAGACCAGCAGCATCAATATCACTTGGGAACTTGTTAGGAATGTGCATTTTTGTTCCTTCTCCCAAGACTGAGAAACTGAGAGTTTAATAAGTCCCACAGGTGATTTTAATATGGCTCCATGATTTAATCTCTGCTGATTTACACACACACACACACACACATACACACACATATATATGGTTGTAGTTGGAAACATGTGCTAGGTGAGCGCTCTACTGCTGAGCCACAATCCCAGCCCTCTCTGCTGATTCCTTTTTCTTTTTTTTTTAAGAGAGAGAGAGAGAGAGAGAGAGAGAGAGAGAGAGAGAGAGAGTTTTTAATATTTATTTTTTAGTTATCGGCGGACACAACATCTTTGTTTGTATGTGGTGCTGAGGATCGAACCCGGGCTGAACGCATGCCAGGTGAGCACGCTACCGCTTGAGCCACATCACCAGCCCTCTGCTGATTTCTTTATACTCATTTCTTAGTACCCTACCACAGAGAGTTTCTAGAACTTTCCAGAGTGTGTTGGTAGCACTGCTTTCCCTGTCAAGAAATACCATTCCTGTCTGAGCATAGTGGCACATGCCTGTAATTCCAGCGGCTCTGGAGGCTGAGGTACTCCTACCCTAAGAAGGCCCTAAGCAACTCAGGGAGACGCTGTCTCCAAAAAAATATATAAAAGGGCTAGGGATACGGCTCACTGGTTAAGCATCTCTGGGTTCAATTCCCTTTACCCTTCTTCCAAAAATGAAATATCATTCCTGCCCTCCTCAATTATTGCCTAATCTTTCAAGATATAAATCAATTTTTCTTGATTCCTTAGGTGGATTTTCTTATTTAAGTTCTAAAAACCTTGTGTAGATACATGTATTCCCGGAGCCTAAACAGTAGGAACTCAATATTTAATTACAGAGTAAAGTAAAGTAACTAAATTAATATTTTGCATGTATTTATTATCTTCAGGCAACTGTACATGCCTTGAGAAATAACTTATTAATCTTTAGGTCTTAGCTGCTAAGCATTTACTTAAATACAATAGTAAATGAGTTCCATTTTAAAATTTCTTTAGACTTTTTTTTTCTCTTTTGAGACAGGTTCTTACTACATTGTCCAGGCTGACATGGAACTACTGTTCTAAAGCAGTCCTCGAACCTCAGATTCCTGGGGTCTAGAGATGCATGCCAGGGCCAGGGTTGTGGCTCAGTGGTAGAGTGCTTGCCTCACATGTGTGGGGCACTGGGTTCCATACCCAGCACCACATAAAAAAATAAAATAAAATGAAGGTATTGTGTCCATCTACAACTAAAAAAAAAATAAATTAAAAAAGAGAGAGAGAGAGATGCGTGGCACCACACTCCTCTTCCTCGGACATTTTTGTTGTGACTTCTGTTAACAGCTCAAGTGTTCAGCTTTCAAATTTTTTTTAATTTGACCGGCGCGGGCGAACACCTGTAATCCCAGTGGTTAGTGAGGCTGAAGCAGGAGGTTCAGGAGTTCAAAGCCAAGTTCAGCAATGTTGAGGCACTAAGCAACTCAGTGAGACCCTATCTCTAAATAAAGTACAAATAGGGCTGGGGATGTGGCTCAGTGGTTGAGTGCCCCTGAGTTCAATCCCCGCTACCCTTCCTGCCAAAATTTATTAATTTGATTTTTATATCCGCTGAAGAACCAGTGACATATAACATTCCTCTAAAGTGGGGAAAGTGTTTATAGAACAGAATTTAGGCAATAACAACATTTGCATTTTTTCTTAAAAAAAATCATGGACACACCCTTAAGGAGGTCATCCAAAAGCTGGTGGCATTGAAGCCTGTGGATAGATTTGAGCCACTAAGATTTGTGGTAGCTCTTCCAATTTGAGAGAAGCAGAAAACCAGCCCATTGTGTGAAGACAGAGTTTTATTTGCCAGCAATGCCAATAGCAAAGTGGAGAAATGGGGTTAAGGGCAAGAGAAGCAGATAAGGTAGTGACCTAAAAATCACAGAGGTCACGGAAGTCTAAAGGATACATCTCAAGTAACTGGAGGTGAGGCGCTCTTCCTAGAGACCGCTTTTGAAAAAGTGGGGGATGATGGGATGATGGGTGGGCCTTTTATTTTTCCAGATGAGCCAGGTTCCTGATTGGTGGCCCAGTGTTGCGTGTGCACCAAACTCCACCCCTTGAACCTTAGCAACAGGAAAGAGAAAGACTGTGATTGGCAGATCCAGTTAGGAGCTCCGTGGAGCCAGGAGGGGGTGCTCTTTATGCTGGTCCTAGGAGTTTGGTGCAGTCTCGAGGAGATGGCTACGCTTTCAAACCTAACACTTTCTGGGAAAGTGCTAACAAACCCTAACAATGGGGGAAAGCTGGCTTTTCTGGATATGTCTCTAGGTATGTAGAGGCCAGAACCCATCCCCCAGAGTCAGGGCTAGATGTGTTTGAGTGGGAGACCTCCTCCTGCTTAGGACAGGCTGGAGATGGCGTTGCCGCCCTCTCTCAGGAGAGGCTTCCACCTCGTGTTACCAAACTCGCCCCATCCCAAAAATACCCTCCGTGCTGTCCCTGGTCTCTACTCCCTAACCGTGCCTCTATCCTTTAGTAGGGGAACCCTGACAGAAATTGCGTGGGGTGTGCTGGAAGTTGCTGGTGGGGACACCTGAGGGAAATTTTAAAAGGCAATCTTTTGGATGTGTTTGATTCTCCTGAGAGATGACTCCAAGCCGTGTTCCTCCTTCAGGCCTGCGAGCTCATACGATCTCCTCATAGTTCAAGTGTGTGATAAATGACTAACTGCCAGGGACCGGTTGCTAGGGACTCCCTGGAAGTGCGTAGAAGGACTGGGAGAAGGGGCAATTGGTTGGCCGGTTGGTTGGTTTTTATGTGGTGCTGGGGAGTGGACTCAGGTCTTCCTAGATGCTGGCGAGTGGTTTCTGTAGATGTTGGCAGGTGGTTTTGTCGCTATACGCCCACTGCCCCTACCCTGGCGCCTCCTAGTCTCTTACTTCAGACCTTTAAATGGACAGTGAAGCCCTTAAAGTTTTAATTCCTTTCCCAAGACTCCCATGGGGGACAGATTTTATTTTATTTAGATTTTTAAAGATGGACACAATATCTTTATTTTTACTTATCTATGTTTTTATGTGGTGCTGAGGATTGAACCCAGGTCTCAGAGCGAGGCAAGTGCTCTCCCACTGAGCCACAACCCCAGCGCAGGGATCTCATTATTTATTCACTTGCTATCATACACCTTAGAAAAGGAAGGTTTGGGGGGCGGGTAGACTTTGTAAATGAGCCAGCCAGAGAGCCTAACTGGGCTGGTAGTTATGGAAACAGAGGGGGCGCAGTAGCAGAGGAGGGAAAGAAACAACTGAGAGGGAAGGAAAGGCCTAACCCTTCAGGGTCACGTAGGAAATGAGGGGGAAAGGCAACGCTTTGAGGATGGACCTAAATCGCACAAAGGAGTGAGGAGGGTGCACCTTAGAAATGGGACGAGCAATGAAAAGGAGGCGGGGTTCATCTTAGAGAGAGGGTCGGGGATCAGTGAGGGGCAGAACTTGGAAAGAAGTGAGGTTGTGGATGGAGAGTGTACCATAGAAATGAGAAAAAGTTGACATGGATAGAGAAAAAAGATCACGGAAATAGAGTGGAGCCCCTTGGGGCGAGGAGTAGAGTAGTGACATCCAGCCCGCGGAACTTGGAAGTGGGAAGAGCAGAGCATATAGCGGGAATTTAGAAAAGAGTGATAGACTTTGCGAGCAAAGTCCCAGTTCTTCTGGAGGCTGAGGCGGAAAGATTGCTTGAGTCCAGGAGTTCAAGGCCAGCTTTGGCAAATGTAAGGAAACCTCCTGTCAAAACAATAGAAATAAGCTGGGTGCAGTAGCCTATACTTGGAATCCCAGCGACTGGAGAGGCTGAGGTAGGAGGATCATAAATTCGAGGCCAGTCTGGGCAACTTTAGAGACTCTGTCTCAAAATAAAAATAAAAAGGGCTGGGGGTGGGGTGGGGTTGTGGCTCAGGGTTAGAACGCTTGCCTAGCATGTGTGATGCACTGGGTTCTATCCTTGGCACCACATAAAATAAATAAATAAACAAACAAACAATCAAATAATAATAATAATAATAATAATAATAATAATAATAATAATAAAAAGTATTGTGTCAAACTGCAACTAAAAATGGGAGACGCTGGGGAATTAGTTCAGTGGTAAAGCGCCCCTGGGTTCAATCCCCAGTATCTCCTCTTAATAGAAATGAAGAATAGAGTAGGGGAAAAGCAAGGACATCTTTAAAATGAGGAGAGGATGGGGCGGGACTCAGCGGTAGGGTGCAAGAGCTAGCCCATGGTTTCAGTTCCCTGGGGTGGGAGTGGGGGAAATACGGAGGGAAAGCAGAGCAATGAAAGCTGATCTTCTCTGTAGGGAGCAGGGAGCAAGGAAACCATAGGAGCAGGAGGAGCCAGGGCTAAAACCTTGGAAAGAGAAGAAGTAAAGCAGGAATGGAGAACCTTAGAAATGGGTAAGGGCTAGTGTTAGGGCCCAATGGTAGAGTACATGCCAAGAGCACAGGGTCCTGGCTTCAACCCCCAGAACAGCAAAAAGAAGAAGAACCCAAGGGGAGGGAGCCACCAAGGGTGGAACTTAAAAATAAAAGACCTAGGAGGGTTGCCCTTATAAGTGGGGAGTCCATTTTGAGTTAATTCTTCTGAATGATGTGAAGTAGGATCTAACCTCATCCTTTTGCATGTGGATATCTAGTTGTCCCAACACCATTTGTTCCCAGCAATGGTGCACCCCTGTAATCTAGCTACTTGGGAGGCTGAGCTGGAGGATCACAAGTTCCAGGCCAGCTTCAGCAACTTAGCAAGATCCTGTCTCAAGATAAAAAAATAAATAAAACTGGGAGTAGTGATGCAAGCCTGTAATCCCACCTGCTCAGGAGGCTGAGGCAGGAGGATGGCAAGTTCAATGTTAGCTTCAGCAATTTAGCAAGACCCCAACTCAAAATAAAAAATAAAAAGGGTTGGAGATGTGAATCATTGATTAAGTACCCCTGGGTTCAATCCCTGCTGCCAAAATAAATAAATAAATAATAAAAATTAAAATGGACTGGAGATGTAGCTCAGTGGTAAAGCACTTTTGGGTTCAATCCTCAGTACAAAAAAAAAAAAAAAAAAAAAAGACTATTCTCTCTCCTTATTGAGAGATCTTGGTGGAATTGTTTTCTTAATTTTGTTTTTGTATTATTCATTGCTAGTACAGGTTGGGTATCCTTTATCTGAAATGCTTAGGACCAGAAATGCTTCATATTTTGGAGTTTTTCAGATTTGGGTATGTTTGCATGGACTACCAGTTGAGCATCCCTAATCCAAAAATCCAAAATATAAAATACTCTGAAACCTGAAGCTCTAAAAATATCAACAAGTTGTGGGGGATTTTAGAGCACCCCAGATTTTCAGATTAGGGATACTCAAACTGTGTATAGAAATGTAATTTATTTTTGTTTATAAATCTTATATCCTAAACTTCATGAATTTATTAACTGTAGTATGTGTATGTATCCTTAAGAAATTCTATAAACAATATATACAAGATCATTGTATCTGAAAATAGATTTAACCTTATTTTGTGTGTGTGTGTGTGTGTGTGTGTGTGGTAGCAACAGGCTTTCCTGTAAGACAAAGACCCTTGTGGATTCCATACTGCTGCTTGGTCACCACTTCTAACTCCATCATGAGTTCTGAAATATTTTGTGGCATTAAAATGACTTTTAAAAAATGTTATCAATGGGAGTAAAGGTGTAGCTCAGTAACTGGTAGAGCACTTGCCTAATATGTGTGAGGCCCTAGGTTCAACCCTTAGCACTGCAAAAAAATAATTGGGTCACTGTCCAGGGCTGGGATTAGGGGGAAGAAGGAAAAAAAAAATTGAATGGTAACACCAAGAACTTTATAGGAATTACACTTCTTGTTCACCACTTGATCTAAAAGGAGATGAAGGCAAAATTAGGATGGTTAGAAAGAAAGGAACCCTTTCTGTCTGACAGATGTATTGGATCATACATGCACAAATATAGTATCTACTCTGTATTAGGCACTTAGTACATTAATCAGTAAACGATGGCCTCTTCTTAAAAACCTCAATCTAGTTGAGGACGCTATTAAGTAATATATGCAGTGTGCATTGTTTAAAGTGTTCTGAATTACGTATAATCAGAATCTTTTAGAAAGTGAGAGAAACCTGCTGTCATTTTGTCAATTTTTTTCCTCCTACAGGCTGTATCCTTTAGCTAATTGTCACTTTTTTTTTTTTTTTTTGGTACTGGGGACTAAACCCAGGGGCACTTAACCACTGAGCCACATCCTCAGCCCTTTTTTGTATTTTATTTAGAGACAGGGTCTCATTGGGTTGCTGAAGCTGGCTTTGAACTCATGATCCTCCTGTCGTAGCCTCTGGAGACCCTGGGATTACAGGAGTACGCCACTATTGTCACATATTTTGAGGATCCTAGTGTTCTGAACTTCTAAATGATGAAACATTGTTTACAAAAATTGTGCTTTTTAAATATTTATAAATATAAAATAGAGCTTTTGACCCACTGGAAAACATAATACAATATGATTATGCTTTTTACAAGAAATTTTTTTAAAAAAATATTTATTTTTTAGTTGTAGATGGACATAATAATATCTTTATTTTATTTTATGTGTTGCTGAGGATCAAATCCAGAGCTAGGCGAGTGCTCTACCGCTGAGCAACAACCCCAGCCCTTTCATAAGAAAATTAATTACATAATTTATATAAAATCTAATTATTCAGAGTCTAATACTCCCACACTTAGGTGCATAATAAATTTTGCATGTTTGTTTTCCCATTTAAAAACAAATTAGGGACTTGGGGGTGTAGCTCAGTGGTAGAGGGCATATTTAGCATAGGTAAGGTCCTGGGTTCAATCCCCCAGCACCACACATACACACACACACACACACACACACACATTTAAAAGAAAATTATTCATGCAGCATCTCAAGTAGTGTGAACAATTTTAAAACTGTTTACAGAATGTTACCTTTCTTTAATCCTGAGACTAACTTACTCAGGCCAAAATTTCAAATAGGCTTTTTTTTTTTTTTGGTGATACCTAGATAAGAATAGTTCTTGAGAGATGGCTTCCTTGAGATGTCTTTTTTTCAGGTGGTTACAGTTACAGTGGTGACATCATTACAGAAAGTAGCATAAGCAAAACCTCATATCTCTGTAAGGATACATCTTGAAAACTAAGGGAAAGGACACAAGAACCTGGAAAAGGGTTGATTCTTATATTAAGGACACCTCCTTCATAACCTCATAGCTTACATGGGAAGGGTCCTTAGACATTTTACCCAGGTTTGAAGCATTTGTTTTCCCTTCCCTATGGAAAGGCTGAGCAGGAAGTGGGTTTTATCTCTAAATCATAGCTGACAAGATCTCTGATTTTTAGCACTGTATATATTGTTTTACAATTCCTTTACAGTGCACCAAATCGGATGGTAGTCTGGGATTTCAAAGTCCAGGAATTAAAATTATGTATGATTTCAGTAAAAAAACAAATCCAACCAACCAAACTCCAAAACACATGCCAAGGGTGTGAATAATTAGGAGACATTTAAAAAACTAATTAAGGGTTTATTTTTAACTAAGTTGTTTTTTTTGTGTGTGATGCTGGAGATTGAATCCAGGGTCTTGTGCATGCAAGGCAAGCACTCCACCAACTGAGCTATATCCCCAGCCCTAACTAATTAATTTTTTAAAAGAATGTTATGTTTGAAAAATCAAAGAACTTGTTTTTTTGCAGATTTTTTTCTTTTTTCTGCTATGAAACCATCTGTTATTTCTGATCCACTTGACATACACCTATATATTCAGAGAGGAAAAAAAGCAAAATAGAAAACATTAAGTGCTTTATACAGGCCACATAGGTACACTTGAGCAAACCTTTTAGTGTCACTATTATTGAATGCCAATTAAATTGAATTAAGATATTTATTGAACATTTACTATGTACCTAAAAGAATTTCTATGAAACAGGATTTTTAAATTTTATTTTTTATTTATATATGAAGCAGAATGTATTACAATTCTTATTACACATATAGAGCACAATTTTTCATATCTCTGGTTGTATACACCATATATTCACACCAATTCGTGACTTCATACCTGTACTGTGGATAATAATGATCATCACATTCCACCCAGAAATATTTTTATACTACTTTCTTCCCTTCAATTTTCTAATCTTGTTATAGAATTTTAGATCTAGAGGGGACTATGGAAACTCAAATAAGGAAACATTTATAAAAAGAATTAAAGGAATGTCATTGTAAATTCATTGATACTCTTACTTAGGCTATATACACAAAAGCCTTTTTTTCTGTCTCATGGCATATTTCTAAGTTGGAGGCACAGACATCTTTTCCTAATGCATTTTTTCAATTACATTTCAATTTGAACACTTGTGAATTTAATATGAAACATTTATGAACACTCAAATGCTAGATTATTTTCAGAAAATGCAGCATAAAATGGATGGGCTGGGGATTTAGCTCAGTGGCAGAGAATGTGCTTGGCGGGCATGAGACCCTGGATTCAATCCTAGTACCACACACACACACACACACACACACACATACACACAAAAGGATTACATAGCTGAAGTATTGTTAGACCACGACACAAGAAAAGACCACTGACTCCAATTAAAATCAAATTAAAGCAAGCTTATTATTTCGACCGACCAGGCTGCCTTGCCCATCAAAATCGTGGGAGCCAAGGACAGCGGTGAGGCTTCTTTACGGCCCAGTTTTATAGCCCAAAAAGTTACACAAAGGGGGGTTACAGATAACAACACTCTGAGGAGCATAACACAAGTTTACGTTTTTGCTGGCCCCGGCATCAGAATTTATGGAGATCTTAGAGACTCAGAGAGGTTCGTTATCCGGCCAGGGAAGGCCAGAATTTATGAGGCGTCACTAAGGTTTAGGAAAGGGTTGTTATCTGGTCAGGGAAAAACGGACATGGGTGAGTTCAGGGCACGGGCAGGCATTCCAATCAGCTTTACAACATCAACTAATGGCCAGACCATACAGACATCCTAATATTTTTACAGAAAACAGAAATGAATCCTTCATAACTTGTGACAAGCTGGCTTCTGATCTAATGAGATAACTAGGCTAGGTATATCAGTATATTATTTTTCTCCATTTGAATCTGAAGCGCCTTCAAAATTAAAATTTCCTATTTACTTGATTTTCATCACTGTTGGCATTTTGAATACTTATGTCTAGATTCTGCATTAGTTTAGAGAAGCACTATGCCCTACAGGCTTGTCTCAGTGTGACCATATCAGTGTTCTAAGTGCAAAGAGAAATAGAATAGTTAGTATTCCAAGAAGTGAGATAAAAGATCTGTATTATACAAAGCTTTTCCATTTTATTGGGAAGCAAGAAGTTAACTTGGAAAATTATATATATATGTATGTTTTTGGAGGAAGTGTACTAGGGATTGAACCCAGAAACACTTAACCACTAAGCCATATTCCCAACCTTTTTTTATATATTTTAGAGACAGGATCTTACAGAGTTACTTAGGGCCTTGCTAAGTTGCTGAGGCTGGTTTTGAACACGTGATCCTCCTGCCTCAGCCTCCCAAGCTGCTGGACATATTTGCTTTTAAAGATTGATTCTAGGTTGAGGCTGTAGCTCAGTGGTAGAATTACTTGCTAGCATGCATGAAGCCTTGGGCTTAATCTCCAGCACTGTAAAATAATAATAATTGAATTATATGTTAAATTCACCCATCATTTATGTTTTCTTTGTCCTCTTTTTGTGATCTAGGCAGTTTTATAGTTTTCACTAAAATAAGTTTCCTTTAAAATGTGGACTTAGTTTATAAAGAGAGTCAGTGGGGGTGGAGCTCTAGCTCAATGATAGAATACTCTCTGCTGATCTTTCAGGGCCAGGGCACAGTACTTGGAAAGTAAATGTTTGTTTATTTATTTATATATACTAGGTACTGTATAAGAGCTTTTATATAGAAATGCTTTGTATACTTTAAAGTACTATTCAATTGAAGGGTGTTATTTTTAAGACAGATAACTATCCATTCCACCATCCCAGTCAAAAGTATCTGGTAAATGTTTCTCAACTGTAGTGTAGGTCTGCATGAACCCTAAGAAATTTTGTGTGATATTTAAGACAGTGTTAGCCATTAGAAGTTATCTTCAGTGACTCTGAGGAATGGAAAAATGAAGTCATTGAGAATTGTATATGAGGGCTACAAAACAGTCTGATCCCAGAGCATGTTCTCATGTCACTGTGAAAAGTACTGACCCAGGAAGGAGCTTGCTCTTCACTTTTTCCTCTCCACAATTTTGTGATCCTATTTTAGAATTCACCATCTTTGGTTCCCTGTAAGCTAGGTAATGATTGTTTCAGGGATATTAGGGAGGTTAAAGATTTAAATATCTGGGGCTGGGGTTGTGGCTCAGTGGTAGAGTGCTCGCCTAGCATGTTTGAAGCACTGAGATTTGATCCTCAGCATCGTATAAATGTAAAATAAAGATATCATGTCCACTTAAAACTAAAAAAAAAATAATAAAATAAAAAAAGATTTAAATATCTTCCTATGTGTCTGTAAGATATCCTATTTGTATACTCCCTTATAATTGTAATATGAAAAAAATCTGGGGCTAGGGGTGTAGCTAAGTGATAGAGCACTTACCTACCTTGCATGCTGTCCTGGGTTTGATCTCCAGTACTACCAAAACAAAAAAATCTGTACCGGAGATTTCCACAGATTTGGAGCGGAGAGCGCGGTGCTGGGGATTGAACCCAGAGCCTCACACACATCCTAGGCAAGTTTGTCACTCCATCAAAAAAGGAAAAGAAATGCACTGAATTGACTGTTGAGCTTCACCTTTGAAGATATCAGCATCTCAAAGAAAATCAGGATCAGATCTTTAGAGACCTGAGGCAAGACTAGTACTGAACAAAACAGTAAAGGGATGGTTAATCTTTGGCATCTATCTGACTCTTTCATGCTGTTTTCACCTACTCCTCCTCTTTCTTCTAATATCTCTAGCTCCTTCCAAATGCTTAGTTTGTGTTTATTTCTGAAGATGCCTTGACATAAGTAAGCTATTATCTACCAATACAACATTCTACCTGTAGAGCTTTCCTTTCCATTCCAGATGTTAGGAAGGTATCAGGTTGTCTCCCATCATTCAAATCATGCCATGTAAGTGCTTTCTACCTGAATACCTAAGAACTTTCCTTATAATAAAGGCTTCCTGATATATAGTAATACAAGTAATACAAGCTCCTCACTTCTGTGGTATCCCTTATGAGCTTCCATTTTAATTTCTTAGTTTTCTTATCTTCTTTTTTATTATCACTGTTACTTTTTAAATTTTAGAATCTTTAAAATGTTTTTCTTTAGTTGTAGATGGACACAATACATTTATTTATTTATTTATACCGGGGATTGAACTCCTCAGGGGTATTCGATCACTGAGCCACATCCCCAACCCTATTTTTCATATTTTATTAGAGACAGGAGCTCACTGAGTTGCTTAGTGCCTTGCAGTTGCTGAGGCTGGCTTTGAACTCACAATTCTCTTGTCTCAGCCTCCCAAGCTACTGGAATTACAGGCATGAGCCACTGTGCCCAGCTTATTTATTTGTTTTTATGTGGTGCAGAGGCTTGAACCCAGTGCCTCACACATGCTAGGTAAGCACTCTACCATTGAGCCACCACCCCAGCCCTTACCTTTTTACTTTTTAAGAAAATACATGTAGGTAATTGTCTGTCACTTACATTTATTCCAAAATGATACTATTGCTTTATATTTCTCTGGAACTGAAATAACATTTATTTAAATGGTCCTCCCTTGAGCTATTGTAATCTGGAAGCTTTTTTTATTTTTGTAAGTGCAGTTACCACAAATCTGTTTGACAGGAATGTTTTTCTTATTTCCAAAAACTAACTGTAAAATCTCTGTATTGTTTGATATTTGTTATGGTTTTTCAGTTTGATTAATATTATAGTAAAATCGTTTTTCAGATCTACTAAATTTTTAAATGTTCTGAAATATGATGACTACTGACTTGAGATACAGTGTTGTTATTTGGCTTTTTCCATTTTTTCATCTGTACTTTCTAATACAGATGACATTATAATCCTTAAAAGGATAGAAACTACCTGTGTGGAAGACATCAAGAATAAAAAACAGAACAATAAAAAACCTACAGCTTCAAAACGGCGATCAAATGCTCGTAGACAACGCAGGCAGAAAGGTAAAGTATACTAAAAATCACACATGGTAAGGAGTCTGAAATATCTGTAACTGACAAGGTCAGCAAATTCAAGAGCTTGCCATGCTGTTGTAAAGTTACATTATTTTACTTATTTTATTTTTTCTAGTCAAGGACTCATATAGGGTTGGTAGGACTCTATGCCATGTCAAATGAAATAATTTTTTAAATTTATTTAAGTTACTTCACTAAAGAAGGGCAAGATGAGATAAGTAACCATATGGGCTAAGAAATGTTTTGTACATTTCTGGTTGGTTGGTCCTTCCACGTTTAGGAGGCAATGCAGGAAGGTTAAAAGCATGGTCAATAATCTGGGTACTGCAGCATCCACATTTTGTAAAAAAGAATGTTGTTGGGCAAAGACAGTTGGGGTAGAGTATGAAGAATATCCTCTGTAACACTAACCACATTGGTTGGTTCAGAGAGTGTATTTCCATATGAATATACTGCAGATTGCCATAGTAGAAAATTCTTTTTAATAATTAAGATTCTACATGATCTAGTGAAAAGGTTGAGACCATCTTAACATTGTACATATTCTCCGCGTTGCCTACCCAGCTTCAGTATAATTCTCCTGTGAATCTTTTAATGGCTTAACATATTCTGAAAAAAGGAGGAATGGTTGTTATTATAAGGGCAAAGCAGCCAAGATTGGTGAGATGGTCCATTCTCATGTTCCTAGCCAAATATAAAATTGATTTTTTGAGGCTTTTGAAAATCTATATTTTTTGATTGTTTCTTAAGCTGTCTTTGTACCCAAAGCAAAGCAGATAGGTGAAGCAAATAGCCATACAATCAATACAAGGCAGCCAGTTTCTCTCTATCTCTTCTTTTTCTATTGGAGTATTCCTTCAATTAATTTCAGATACTGTGTCCCAACTGGGCATATGAAGTAAAATTTGAGGTATTATACACAAAGAAGATTACCCTATTAGGGTAGGCAAATGGAAACAGTATGGCAAAGATTGTTCTAGAATTCAGTGAGACTCCTAGATGATATTAGAGTAATGAAATATCAAAAGTTTTACAAAACCCAGCGCATAGCTTTAAAATGAGGTCATGCACAATATTTCTGAAAGACATGTTGAATTTGCTGACTAAAAATACAGAAAATAATTATTTTTCAAAGGGTGCACAAAATTCCAAAACAAGCTTGACGAAAAAGTTGATGATCAAAAATCACAAGAAGAACCTTCTGGAGCAAAGTCTGGACAAAGCCCTTTAAGTAAGCAGCCTTCAATTGAGCAGGTAAATAAATACCAAGAATTAACTGATATAAAAATTCCTAAGTTTAATATATATCTTAATATTAAGAGTTATTTTAAATTCCATTGAGAGCTGGGATTGTTTCTTAGTATTGTTCCATGGTGACTTGAATACAATCTAAATTAGATTTTTGTTAGTTGATATTTTTCCCCTGTGTCTCTTGTGATAAACATTTGGGTTGTTTTGTTATTTTTGGTCAATAGAAATTTATTTTAATATTTATTTTTAATTGAAGTTGGACACAATATCTTTATTTTATTTATTTATTTTTATGTGGTGCTGAGGATTGAACCCAGGGCCTCACACGTGCGAGGCGAGCACTCTACTGCCAGGCAGTCCCTGGTCAATAGAAATTCTGAATTTATAAAATGCTAAAATAGATTATTGTTACTTATCCTATATAATCATTCTAATTTTTCTCCTCTTACAGAGTGTTTGATATTAAGTTATAGTATAAAAAGTTTTAGTAGCCTTGTAAATTAATTATAAAAACCAGAAGTGAGATGAAATAGAATATGAAATACACTCTGGAACTAACAAGTGGGACAGACTATGGTTGTATAATCCTTTACCTCAGCTTCTATAGGTACGCTGGTCACTGTACAAGAATTTGAGAGGTGCTCCTCCAGATTTATAAGCTAACATTGGTGTTAATGTTTCAGCTTGGCCTATAAACTGATTCTTTTTATGGCATTATGTGATCATTTAGTAAAAAATGGTGGTTCTGGCAGCTTAAACCATTTTTGTTAAATTATGTAAATGCAAATTATTTACTTATTTTGGAGGGGAGCATATTGCATTTTCAAATATTTGAACGATTAATTTAAGTTGATCAAATACTGATTAGGCGCCTACTCTATGCAGCCCCCGAATGGTACTAAAGCAGCCTGCTTCAAATACCATATGTGGTAGTAGGAGAGAAAGAGAAGAAAGAAATGTAATGCTAGGCAGGATGAAATACATGTTCTAATACAGTATATGTTCTACATTATAGAGATGCAGTAATGCATTCTGACTGGGGAGAATTCAGAAAGTCTGATGGAAGAGATGACATTTGATTTATGTCTTGTAGGATGAGGAGGTTTGGGATAAAATTTGGAAAGAAGAATGAAAGCTTGGACTGGGGTTGTGGTTCAGTGGTAGAGTACTTGCCTAGCATGTATGAGGCACTGTGTTCAATCCTCAGCACCACATAAAAATAAAATAAGGATATTGTGTCCACCTAAAACTAAAAAAATAATTTTTTTTAAAAGAGAAGAATGAGAGCTTTTTTTGATACAGTCCATGATGCAGAAATAAACTGAATATTGTAAAACTGTTTTCAAATTGATAGTATCTTTATGTAACTCATATTTTTGAAATTAAAAAAAATTATAGACAAAATACCTTTATTTCATTTATTTATTTTTATGTGGTGCTGAGGATGGAACCCAGTGCCTCACACATGCTAGGCAAGCGCAAGCGCTCTACCACTGAGCTACAACCCCAGCCCCAATTGGGTACTGGGGATTGAACTCAGGGACACTGGATCACTGAGCCACACCCCCAGCCCTGCTTTGTATTTATTTAGAGACAGGGTCTCACTGATTTGGTTAGTGTCTTGCTTTTGCTGAGGCTGGCTTTGAACTCAAGATCCTCCTGCCTTAGTTAGACTCCCGAGCTGCTGGGATTACAGGAGTATGCCACTATGCCCAGCTTCCAGCCCCATTTTTGAAACTTTTGAGACTTCAGTATAGCAAAACCCATCACAAAAATACAGTAAAGAAATATAAGAAAGTTAACCATAATTATTTTACCAATAAATAGAATAATTAGTGTCTAATGGTGTGTTGCAATTCTTTCTCCTTTCCCTTTTTCTTTCTTTTTTTTGATCCTGGAGATTTAACCCAGGTCCTAACACAAGCTTGCTGAGTGCACTACCACATTCCACATTCCCAGTTATTTCAAGACAGGGTCTCAAGTTGGCAAGGCTGTTCTCAAACTTGTGAGCCTGCTGCCTCAGCCTTCCTTGTAGTTGGGATTACAGGTGTGCATCACTGCACCCAACAATGCCTTGCAACTCTAATAAGCAAGTTATATACGTTGAAAGATTTAATCTACCAAGAATAGGATAAATAATCTACTAAATAGGATAAAATTGTATTTATTCAACATAATTCTTTTTGATAGGAAGTTTCTGCTTGCATATAAGGAAGGATAACTAATGTGCATTTCATTTTCTAAAGGTGAAACATTTATTTTGGGGGGAGTATTGGAGATTAAACCCAGAGATTCATTCATGCTTAGCATGTACTCTACCACTAAGCTATATCTTAATCATGAATATCTATCTATCTATCTATCTATCTATCTGTCTATCTATCTATTTTTAGTTGTAGATGGACATAATAGCTTTATTTATTTTTATGTGGTTCTGAGGATGGAACCCAGTGCCTCACACATGCTAGAAAGGTATTCTATGGCCCCTGAAACTATTTTGTATTGTAAACATTTATGAAAGGACCACAACTCCTTTGAGAAGAGTTTTCAGGAGTTAGGCCTCAATCCTATTTTTTCTGCTGAGCCACCGTGCTCCCAATACTATTCACTTAGAAGAGGTACATGTGTATTTCACCCAGTCTACTTGTTTAGATTTTTCAGTAGAAATGCTGGGGAGTGTCTATGGCCTTAGGCTCTAGTAAATATTTTTTTCATATTTTTTATGTTATTGACGCTTTCTATTCAGAATATTCTTTGTGCTGGTGCCTTCCCTGCTATTTAGCAGTTGCTTTCACCTCTGGCAGTGTAATACAAGAAAGGCATAATGCCAAATCTAGGGCATGTTTTCTTTGCCAGGCAACATTTGCTAGTGGAAAGCTTGATTTCTCAGCACAGTTCATATAACTTTATCCACTTATTTTATGTAACATCATAGAGATTTGTCAAACTTTTCATTATTTCCATTTGGCTGATTCACACTATTGCCTTTTGGTTTAGAAGTTGAAAAGATAGAAAGACTGAGTCATTACCAGGTCAATTTACTTGAACAGTATTAAGCCAACCTTCTGCTTCCTTTATAGATTTCTTTCCTGCACTTTGTTTTTCTCTCTAGAATTAAGTGTTTTTATATTGAATTTATAGATTGTTTTCTTAAATTATCATCAAGCTGGCAAAAACAGTATTTGATCCTAAGGATGTATACTATGAAATATTATTAAATATTGCCTCTCCTAAACTATAAAGTCATACGATCTTTGTTTCTTTAACAAAATATAGATCCAGAAAATGGTAGGTAGAACATGATCTTGGAATATATTAAAATTCATAAAGCGACTAATTTTCCATATTTTCATTTTATTAAAGTCTTATTTGCATAATATTCTTTGTGCCAATGACAAGGGACAACAGAGCTATTCTACATGGTAGTTCTAAAAACTAGTATATAAAAAGTAATCACGGTAGATTTTCATAAGAAATAATTGCCCATAGAAATGGTCTTAAGAAATATCATTGTGACTTAATCAAATTGTGGAGCATATGTTTCATTTGTTTTGTATAATTGGGGTCCTTTACAGGAGAAGTGCAATGACAATAATAAGACCCAATCAGAGAGGAATCAAGGCCAATCAGAAGAAAAACAGCATCAATCAGAAGGAAATCGAGGCCACTTAGAGAGATCTCATAGCCGATCAGTAAGATCTCCTGACAAATCCAAGAGATCTCATGGTCAATCAGAGAGATCTCGTGGCCAATCCGAAAGATCTCGTGACCAATCAGAGATATCTCATGGTTGCTCAGAGGGATCTCATGGTCGCTCGGAGGGATCTCGTGGTTGCTCGGAGAGATCCCGTGGTCGCTCGGAGAGATCCCGTGGTCGTTTGGAGAGATCTCGTGGTCATTTGGAGAGATCTCGTTGCCGCTTAGAGAGATCTCATGGTCGCTCAGAGAGATCTCATGGTCATTTGGAGAGATCTAATGGTCATTCAGAGAGATATCATGATCATTCAGAGAGATATCATGGTCAATCAGGGAGATCTTATGGCCAATCAGAGAGATATCGAAGATATTCACCAGGAGGAAGATTCAAATCATCACCGGAAACTGAGTCCGAATTTGACAGGTAAAAATACAAAGAATACTTAAGCATTAGTACATGTTAAGTGATATGGAAATGTAAAGACATGCTTTCTATTTCTATATTTTAATGGCTAAATGTGTGTTTGTTTTAACAGACATGTATTGGGACAAAGATATTAATGGAATAGAGAATATATATATATATATATATATATATATATATATATA